ACTGAGATGAGGGATGATGTCTGATCACATGCTGCCACCTGGCACATCGCGCTTTCTGGTCTCTTCTCCCAAGTAACAAGCAATAGGATGAGAGGAAATGGGCTCAAGCTGCGCCAGGGGAGGTTTAGGTTGGATATTAGGAAAAATTTTTTCACGGAAAGGGTAGTCAAGCATTGGAGCAGGCTGCCCAGAGAGGTGGTGGAGTCACCATCCCTGGAAGCGTTCAAAAAATGGGTAGATGTAGCACTTCAGGACATGGTTTAGTCTAGTCTACCCTTAATTGGTTTAGTGTGGACTTGGTAATGTTAGATTAATGGTTGGACTGGATGATCTTAAAGGTCTTTTCCAACCTAAACGATTCTATGATTCTATGATTCTGAGCAGATCAGTGTAAAAGGATTTGAGCAACTACCAGCTTCTGTGAAGTGACTCGAAAGGGTGCTTTGTTCTAATCAGGGTCTTCAAAGAAGCTGTGTAGGTGGCAGATGCTGACATACTGTACAGATGGTCTGTCATGGTGCTCAGTGCTGCACGGTCTCATGCTCTGTCCAGACCCATGGGACTGTGGGGCCTTGGAGGTGTAACAGAGCCAAGCCATTCCACCCTGTTGTTTGTACTGCTTGCACTCTGGTCATCTTGGGGACCTGGTGAGAAAAGCATAATTTATTCGTAGGATTAGTCTCCTCTAGTTTGGCTCTGCAAGGTTTTGGGAGTTGACAAAGGAGCAGCACTGCTCCTTTCTTTAGTGGTGTGGTTCCCTGAGCTGTGTGGAAGTGCTCCAGCAGCTGCTCACAGAGCTCTTTCCCATCCAGTGGTGGTGTTGGTGGAGCTTGGGGAAGTGGTTGGTCTTACTGTGTTCACTGATCCAGAACTGGTCTTTTGCTGTAAGCCGGAGAGGCCTGTGCTTATGGTGTGGTTAAACCATGACTGACACACTTGCAGCCTTTCAGCAGGGCAGCTCTCTGAAGCATTAGTCTAGAACTTACCTCCAGGGAGGTTTTGGGGTGAAATGGCACTGGTGGGGGTTGTTGCTCCTCTTTATGCTGACAGAGGAAGAACAGGCTGAATGCAGCAGGTTCCTGCGTTGCTGTTGCAGTTCTGCTGTTAAAAGAGTTAATGAACTCTCTACCTGCTTCTGCAGCCATTGCCTTGATGACCACAGCAGTCATTTCTACCTGCGACCATGGCGTTGTGGCGAAGATTAAGAGAGTGATCATGGAGAGAGACACGTATCCCCGCAAATGGGGTCTCGGTCCCAAGGTGAGCATTGTGGGGGTGCAGTCAGTCCCAGGGTGGCAGTGGGAGCCCAGCTGTTGGGATGTGGGTCTCAGGGCCCCTCAGGCAGAGCTGTGCCCGTGTCTTCTCCAGGGCCTCAGTGTAATTCTGCTGTGCTCTCCTGGAGCCACGATGGTGGCACTTCCCAGTGCCAGGGCCGTGCCAGCCCAGTGCTGGTGGGAGCGAGGCTTTCCCTGCCAGTGGAACCTGGGCACCTCTACCCAAGGCCCATCTGGGGCTGCTGCTGGTGCTCAGGCTTGGACTTCTGAGGTCTGTACAGCACCAACTCTCCTCTGTTAAAGAGCCAAATGATGTGAAGTAGATAGCAGTAGCACTCTGCAAAGATGACCTTCATCTATCACCCCATACTGATGGCTCTGGAGGGGCTGGGGAAAGGGTTGCTTTTCCTTGTGGTGCAACTGCAACAGTGCCAAAACGCAAACTGTCTTGTGAGACACTAAATTGTGCCTGAAGGACAGGAGCAGTGGGAACACCTGTTGTTGTGTTCCTTTCCTGTCTCAAGCATGTTGTAGACATGGAAACTCAGCAGGCGAGCAATGCTAGCTTAACTGCAGCCAGACTGGTGTGTTGCTGTGGTGAGTGATACAGCTTGGACTTAAAACTCAGTGCCAAACTGCTGTGGCTTATTCCATTCCTGTGGTTCAAGTGAAGTGTAGAAAGCTGTGTGGATGTGTGCACATCTGTCTCGCAGCAAATGTGAGGTAATGCAGGCCAGTTCAAGCATCTTGGAGTCTTCAGCTGCAAATGCAAGGCTTTGCTAGAGTGGTTCAGCTGAAATGTGGCGGGTCATTGCTGGAGAAACCCAGTCAAAGATCTGAGCTCCATCATGTGCAGAGTCATCTTATTCTGCTGCTGTTACTTCCCCCACAAATTAGCCCTTATTTACTGATGAAGATGCCTCCTGTCTGAGATTTGTAGGCTGCTGTGCAGGGGATGTTTTGTGTGATTTGTTAGAAGGTCCTTGAAGAAGTGTTAAATTAGTAATGCTGTAGTTGTTGGCTTGGCTTATTCCTTGATTACCTCCTCTTAGGCTGAGTGACTGAAGCCCCAGGGAGGATTTCTCCTCCCTGTAGCTGCAGTCTGACTTGTTGCATGTTGCTCTCAGGCCAGTCAAAAGAAGATGATGATCCAGAAGGGTCTTCTGGACAAGCATGGAAAGCCCAACGAGAGCACACCAGATTCCTGGAAGAAGGAGTATGTGGATTACAGGTGGGTACAGGGTGTGTGACTCCCGCATGGTGGGCAGAGGGGAGCCCTGTGCAGCAAGGGCTGGGCTGGATGCTGCTGTTTGTGCTTGGAGCATGTTAGACCTGGCCTGAGACTGTTGCCTGTCCAGACCTGTGGGGTGCAGTGGCATTTCTTGCAGTCCCAGGGAACATGCTGCTAGTGGGCAGTGCTGGAGGGAAGGGCCCTGAGCAGATGGTTATCCCTTTCTAGCCTGTACTTGTGGTTTTAGAGGGAGTCAGTCTGCTAAATTAAACGGGGGAAGCCTTGCTGTCACCCAGCCCAGCTGGCCCTGGTGCAGGCTGCAAGTCTTCCCCACACCAGCCTCCCCATCCAGTGCCTGGTGCGGGTTACCGGAGCCCCTGCGACGGGGACAGGGCTTTGTACTTTGTAGCACGACGCAGCGGCTGTCCTGCTCAGCCTGGGATCTTCTCTTTCAGGGATGCTTCCAAGAAAGAGGCAGCTGCCATTCCCCGAGCTGCTTCGGAGCTGGAGAGGGCTCCAAAAGTGAGTATCATTAGTGCTCTCTGGCCGTAAGGTTGTTTGGGCCCTGATGAAGAGTGGATACCCGCCTGTTCCTTTAGGCAGTTGATATCAGGTGCTGGATTGTGTGCTGCTTTGGTTGGTTGTTTTAGAGGGGAAGGTGTTTCATATTTTGGGAACCTAGTGCCCCAACATGTGTTGTGGTTGCGTGGCCCATGAGCTAGCTGTAGGGTAACCTGTTTAGGGCCTTACCCCTGGGTGTTTGTCTCTGGGATGTTGTACTTTGGGTGCAAGTCCTGTAGCACAGTATAAGAATGAGGAGCTCTGACTTGTGGTGTACAAGCTGCAGCGTCCAAGGAAATATGTTGTACGGAGCCCCAATGGAGGTTTGTTGTGCCAGAGAACCTTTCTGGACACTACAGACAGTTGCAGAAATGTCCATGCAAGAGTTGCATCTAAAGTTCCGTAAGTCAGAGCTTGTGCTGTGATCTAAGGATCTAAGTCAGGGCTTGTGCATGCACTTGGAAAGGTGCAGCAGTGTTTCAAACTCTGGAGCATTTGGGGTACAGGAAATACTGAGAAATATGGTGTGCAGTTCTGGCAGAAGCAAATCCTAGACAGTGTATGCTGGAGGGGACCACTGGCAGTCTGTAGCTCACAGTCAACGCTTAAAGCATTGTTAATTGCGGTGATTGATTGAATCCAGCAAAATACTTGCAATGGGCTTGCAATGGTTTTCCCATCACTTGAGCTCCTTTGGAAGATGGCGTGTCTGACGTGTTCCCCTAACAGAGGAAGCGAGAGTCAGAGAGTGAAAGTGAGGAGGCTGTGACCCCACCATCCCCTGCAACCTCACCACCAGAGGAGCTGAGCAAGAAGCAAAAGAAAAAGAAGAAGAAAGAGAAGAAGGCCAAAGAGGCAGCTGAGAGTGCAGGAGAGCAAATAGAAGTGGTATGTAACTGGGTACTGCCTTGGTATAGTCCAAGCATGGGAGAGATTGCTGTCTCTCCCTGGTACCTCCAGGATAAACTCATAAGCATCCTGCTGTGCATGTCCCCAAAGTGCCAGGCTCCCCACAGGCAGAGAAAGATGTCTATATGGGTGCATTTGTAAACTGAACTGGTTGAGGGTGGTGGGAGATTGGGCAGGTGAACCTTGTGGGGGTGGGTCTGCAGTGGGGCAGGGATGGGGTAAGCAGTCATCTGTGCCCCATGGCAGTCGGTGGGTACATGTTCCTGGCCAGGCCACCTCTGTGCTCTGGTGCCCTGTAACAGGCCCCGGTGGGAGGATGGTGTCTGGCATGGTGCTGGCATTCAGTCAGTGTGCTTGAGTGCTTGTATGGTGGTGAGGGAGGATTGCAGCCATGGGGAGCCTGCACTGCATCTGGAGTGAGGCATTTCCTCCTGAAATGAGCAATGGGGCATTCCTTTTTGATTCCTTCCTGACCTCTTCAACCCAACCTCTTCATAGACCAGTGACACCAGCACGAAGAAGAAGAAGAAGAAGAAACAAAAGGAGGTAGAAGAGAGCTCAGAGTAAGCGACTGGATCTGTCCAAAGCAGGCAACATCATCGGTAGGGAGGGAGGAGTCTGAGGCCTTGAGAAAAAGAGGACTGGCTTTGCGGCAGACAGGCCAGCAAGTTCCAAGTTCCTTTTCTGCTGTGTATACGAGTGAGTGGGTGTGTTTGCCCAGGATACGCCCTGCTGAGGTACCCCTCCTCATCCTGTTTTAAGGGTTGCCAGAGGAGTGGGGTGCCTGACTGCCCCTGCACTGGATTGCTTTCTAAAGCTGAACGCCGTGATGCCAATAGAAGTGGTATCTTCAGGGAAGCTGTAGCTCCTGGCTCTTACTTGGTGTCTTTTTTTTCACCTTGAGAGGGAGGAATAACGTTTCTCCCTCTTCTTGTCCTGCCTCTTTCTTGCTTTTCTTCCAAGGTTAGAGCTGTTACCTGACAGTCGCAGAATGCATTGGCGTCTGGAGGACTGGCTTTGTCACAGGCCATTTGAATGGGTTTGGATGGGGACAGTCAAATTGGTTATTTGAAGGGCTCTGGTTTGTTTTAACCTGGCCATATGCTTGGCTTGATCCTCAGCTAGGTGAGATCAAATAGTCCACCCAGATATTCTTCAGTACTTTTTTTTAACTTTATCATAAAAGGATTAGAACATTAAATTCCTGCTTTTCGCTTTATAGTGTGGGGACCTGCTTGTTAGCTGTCAGCTGATTGCCAGACCCAGTGCCCCAACCTTGTCAGCATGTACCTCTTGCTGGCTCTTTGCTCTTCTCTACCCAGTTGTTGGAATGGGACCACAGCGCTTTCAGTTGCCTTCCCCGGTTTTGGCATCTAATATGCTCTGAAGGCTAGAAGCGGGGATGCTGCTGGGTGCAGAAGCAAAGTGACCAGAGGGTGGCTGGTCAGTATGCTTTTTTAAAGGGCTTTTGGGAGTGGAGTCCTTGTGAGGAAAAGCTTGGCCAGAGGCAGTTCTGCAAGGGGCATCAGGTGTGGGGCTTGAGCAGTTTCAGAAAGACTTGTCCTAATTTCCTTATCTGGGATGGCTTGCTGGGGGTGGGAGGTCTCTCCTCTGTCACAGGGGTCATGCTGAGCCAGGATTTTAGCCCCTTTTAACAGGGAAGGATTCAGGCTGCTTTGTTCTGAGCTTCATCCCTGCAGAGATTCTGTAACATTTGTCTTGGCATCATGCATTGCTTTTGTCTTGTGTCTGACTTTTCTCCCCTCCAATGCTAGAGATACATACAGGCAGTGGGGCCAGCAGCTGGTGGCTGTCAGAACCTGAGCAGAAGAAAAAGTCCCATTTTTATTTACTCTTTTTTACATAAAAATAAAAGCCCTATTTTTGAACGGGTGATTTTCTTGCTCATCTGGCTCCTATTAAGAGGTCAGTGGTCTGTTCATGGGAAGGGGAGGCAGCTTAATGTGTGTGTGTGCTGCAGCTGGGCAGGTAAACAGCTGCCCCTTCTGCCCAGCCTTTGTGCTGCTCTCCTGAAGAAGCTGCTGGTGCAGAGAAGTGGTCATGTTGATGTGGACCATCACTAGAGGGGCCTTTGTTGCTGGTCAGGACTTCACTGGTGCTTAGGGGCCACCCTACACTTCTGTAAAACCCACTGGGTCGTGTGCCTGCAAGCTTGAGTGTTCTCTTTCCTCCTTTGCCTGTGCTGGAGTGAGCTGCTAGAGAGGTCTGATGGTGGCTGGAGGGACTATTTGGTCCTGGCTTGCCTAACTGTCAGTGCATTAGGGTCAGGGAGGTGGGAACAGGCTTCCAGCTGTGAGCAAGTGCTCAGCCTAAGAGGTAAAACACCAGTCACAGCAGTGTTTCAGCATGTTTATTGCTGCTCATTGTTTCCCTGCAGTGGATCAGAACGCAGGTCCCTATTGCACATCAACAGATTTTATTTTTGGCATCCTTAAAAATTTGCGCAAGACTTCTTAACCCCCTTCCTCTTTCCCCTAGCTGACTGCTGAACACACAAATGAGATTTTCACCTAAATGATGGCTATGGTTTGCCCAGGAGCCACGGAGATGCTTCCTGGACATGGTCATGGTGGGGCTTGTGCATCAGTACACTCCTGCAGAAGGAACCCCTTTGTGTGCATGGCTTTTATGTTTGCATACAGTGTACAAGACACGCTAGACTCTGGAAAGCATGCCTGGATGATCTTTGTAGAGACACCGTTTCTGCTGTGTGTAACAGATAATACTTGTGGCTGGATCTAATTTATCCACTGAACTGTCCCTCTGGGGTTTGGTCTGTGGGACTTCCTCAGCTGCTGCTGAGTTTCTCCAGCCAGATGGTAACAATCCAAGCTGCACGGTGAGAATTTAAATGCAGTGAATTTTTACAACCACAGTTGCACAGGGTGAATCGGAAAACTCCAGCCTCAGAACATGGGGTGAGACCTGTCTGGGGGCGGCGTGCTCCATGCCGCTTTTGTCAAATCCACACTCACCTTTTTCTGCTCTTCCCCATTTGTTGAGGGGAAATCCTTGGATGTAGGAGCCCTGCTGTGGTCTGTGTGAAGCCTCCTAAGCTGTGGGCTTCCTTGAAGCCTCACAGACACCAGCCAGGCTTTTGA